GAGAGAGAGAGAGAGAGAGAGAGAGAGAGAGAGATATCGCTCGTTGTGTACCATCTACGCGGGGCAAACGAACATGCATCGGGCATGCACGGGCGTATAATCGCGTGTGCAGATACCAGCGGTGCGTGCGTGCGAGAAAGTGAGAGAAATAGAGATATATCTCTATAGAGTCCTTGCGAAACGCACGGCGTGACCGACGACGACACGCATATACAGCCGACGGGAGTCATGGAAATTGTGGAAGTCGCCACCACGAAGCTGGTGCAGTGGTTCAACGAACTCCGATCCCGGGTGCATCTTTACCTGCACGCCCAGACTCGTAAGTCGTCTCTCCCCGGAGGGAGTGTGCATTGTGCCACGCGCGAGGGTCGAGGGTCGATCGTGTAGTGAAATAGTAAAGCTGGCCGTCTCTGCGCCGTGATTCACCGTGAATTCCCGGACGGTGTATTTGTAACGATTTAACAATATATTATATACGCTTTTGACAATGCTCGGCGGGGAGAAGCAACTTCCCTTTTACTTCTGCAATTGTAAGACATAATTTTCCAACAATTTTTGCGCGACCATCGAGCCTTCCGTTCATAATGTTCGCGTTATCTCGTGTTGCAAAGCTATACTAATTAGCGGCGCCGATATGCTCGGTCTTTTTTTATGAAGACCGAGCATTTAATTTATTTAATTTATTTAATTTATTTAATTTAATTATTATTTTAATTCTAAAGACTGTATTTGGTTACAAATACATAATGCATTGTTTGTACACAGAGAGAATTTTTTTTTTAATTTATCCTGCAAATCATGTTAATTGTGGGACAATATAGTATTTAGGTAAATTTTACTGTGCACTACAATAAATTTTACAGTATTTTACTACTGTCAAATTTATTGTAGTGCACAGTAAAATTGTCCTAAATACTGTATTGTCCCACAATTAATATGATTTGCAGGATAAATTAAAAAAAAATTCTCTTTGTGTAGGTATTACAATAATACGCATGAAATAATCCGTATTACAATAATAAGGATTATTTTATATTTTATGTGTTATATAATAATATATAATTTATATCATAATAAAATTATTAAATTATAAATGTAATACCTAAATATTATTTTTGTACATCGAAGTCTCTCGGAATTACGACGTGAGCTAAAAGTAGTATTGAATTACTAATTAAGCGCACTTATCTCTCTTTTCTGTTGTCGCTTATCTTTTACTCCATTGACGTAACTGTAGTGTATTGTCGAGTCGGCAGCGAGTTCTAAAATTATGAAAATCTATTCTTCGAAGAACACCAGAAAGAGATGCACAACCTTTTTAATTCTCCATATACATATAACGAGATGTATTATCGACGTTTGCAGTAATACTGAATTGTTGATGCGCACGAAACATCGTACTAAATATGTATAGCCACATTATTTATAGATATTAATTTGCATATATATATAAACTGCCCAGAGATTTCTCTCTCTGGGCTATTTTATTGTTACTAAAAAAAAAAGATTTCTGATTAATAATCCCAAGAGATAGTTTATTATCATTTATTTCTCTTTATTTCTTTGACGAGGAAAAATGGAGAGAAAAAGGTAGCTATAGCATATAAATATAGCAATATCTAAATATCTATACACATATATAGCAAACGTCTAAAGTCGATACTGCGTACTCAATACACGGTACTTAGATGCAAAATTACGCACGCAAAACAGACGATAAACGAATGCCTCTTGCGTAAATTACGCCCGATGCGCATCGGCCAGGAGCGCACCGCGATGTGTACCTGGCCGTTATTTCTTCATCTTTCAACTTTAGCTAGCCACGTATGATATTTTAATAGCAGTCATTTGCTGCGAATCGTTCGTGTCGCGGATACAAAACTGTCAGTTTACCCGCTCGCGAGCGGAACGTTACACAGCGGCTATAAGAAGAGATAGATACGAGCATGATACGAATGCCATTTATGTCTCGGGCATAATAACGCCCTTACGATCGGAATCTCCGATAAAGTGGCGCGACTTTATTCTTTATATTAAACTTACCTTCGGCCCGATGGTGTATTTCTGTATCTGACGAGTGGAGAAATCTAGAGACTCGATCGTTCCGCGAAGAAGCCTGCGGGCGATGGGAGACCTTCCATTTCCCCTCCACGATAAATTGAAGTAATAATCTTCTACAAGACATTTTTCTCTTGCTCATAAAAAGATTGCACAGAAAGTGGAAAATAAAATTATTGATCAAATTGATGAGATAAACATAGATGCATACATAAATGATTACGTGACACGTGGCGTTATAGTGGGTCAACTATCGATTGTATAATTCTGAAAAATTTAAAGAAAAATAGGAACATCGAGAAACCGAGAGATTCGTTTCGAGATTATGAATGTTGTATTTGCGCGTTGCGCGCAAACGAGATATAAAATCGTTATATAAAATCGAACGGATTTCGTGTGTTACAGTTGGTCCGGTAAGGGCGGAAAATGGTGGCTCGCAGGGCGACGATCAGCCAGCCGCGCAACAGAACGACGGCGAGGAGAGGGTCATTTTCGTCAACGCCCCTCATCAGCCGGCGAAGTACAAGAACAATCACATCACTACCGCGAAGTACTCATTTCTCTCGTTTGTACCCCTGTTCCTGTTCGAACAATTCCGTCGATACAGCAACTGCTTCTTCCTGTTCATCGCACTCATGCAGGTAAAATTCACGGATATATTGTAAATTAAATATTACGATTCCCCTCCACGATAAATTGAAGTAATAATCTTCTACAAAAGATTTTTCTTGCTCATGGGAAAAGATTGCACAGAAAGCGGAAAATAAATGTTCGATTAAATTGTTGATTAAATATTACGAGATTAAATATTACGAATGTGACGATGCTACGAAGGGAAACTCTTTAAAAGAATTCTTTAAAAATTCTTTTTTTCTTACTGTCGACGGCATTTAACATTTTTTTTATCCCGATTTAAATTTAGCAAATACCAGACGTGTCTCCGACAGGACGCTGGACAACATTGGTTCCACTGATTTTCATCCTCAGCGTGTCCGCTTTGAAAGAGATAGTCGAGGACGTTGTACGTATACTTGTTATAATTTTCTTTATCGTGCCTCGCATAAATAAGAGGTGTTAGCGAATTTTTTCTTTTTTTACAGAAAAGGCACAGAGCGGACGATGAAATAAATATGAGGGAGGTGGAGGTGCTGAGGGAAGGGCGCTGGCAGTGGATACAGTGGCGCGCCGTGGCCGTCGGCGATGTGGTTAAGGTTACTCCCTCCCTCCTGTTTTCGCCAAGATCATTCATGCGGTCGTAATTAATCGCCGGTTTACATCGCTAGAATCGCTCTCTTTAATATGCATAGGTTCACAACAACACTTTCTTCCCCGCTGACCTGATCTTGTTGTCGTCGTCGGAGCCGCAGGGTATGTCCTTCATAGAGACCGCCAACTTGGACGGCGAGACGAATCTGAAGATCCGACAGGCCCATCCCGACACTGCCAATCTCTTGGATACCGCGGAATTGATGAATTTTCGGGCCAACATCCAGTGCGAGCCGCCCAACAGGCACCTGTATGAGTTCCACGGAGTCCTACGGGAGACCAATAAACAGTAAGAGAAACGCTTGAACGTGCATGTGCGAGACACACACTTCTAAATATATCTTCTTCTCACTGCACGCTTGTCTGTCTCGCGTTCCAAATCCCGTCGTTATTTGGATCCCGATAATGAAAATCCTCTCTCACATCCCCGGATCTCCCTTCTGGATTATCTCTTATTATGCCAATTCGTCACCTCTCAACTTACGAAAGCTTTAAGTGTCTGTCACGTATCGTAACTTTTTTATTAAATGAGAATGCCCTGGTATTCGTAGAAAAAATCTTCACATCTTCATGTCGTACGACAAGTTAATGCGTCGTTACGCCACAAGCGGCATATTGTTCTTCCACAGGAGCGTAGCTTTAGGACCCGATCAATTGTTACTCCGTGGCGCGGTGTTGCGGAACACGCGGTGGGTGTTCGGTGTAGTGATATACACGGGGCACGACACGAAACTCATGCAGAATAATACCGCGACAGCGCCGTTGAAACGATCCACCCTGGATCGGTTGATCAACACCCAGACACTGATGCTATTTTTCATACTTCTTCTGTTGTGCATTCTTTCCGCGATATTCAACGTCGTGTGGACGAACGCCAACAAAGAGGGTCTCTGGTATCTGGGTTTACAAGGTAAATATACATGGAACACACGTCGTATGGGCTTTCTCGTTGTATCATGGCATCTCGAGGAGGCTCGAGCCTTCACTCTTCTTCTTCTTCTCGTTGCAGAGGAAATGACTAAGAACTTCGCTTTCAATCTGCTGACGTTTATTATTCTCTTCAATAATCTGATACCGATATCGCTGCAAGTGACGCTCGAGGTGGTGAGATTCGTTCAGGCCACGTTCATTAACATGGACATAGAGATGTATCACGCGGAGTCGGACACTCCGGCGATGGCACGTACGAGTAATCTGAACGAGGAGCTCGGGATAGTTAAGTACATATTCACGGACAAAACCGGCACCCTCACGAAGAACGTCATGGAATTCAAGCGGTGTTCGGTCGGTGGAAAACTGTACGAGTGAGTTTCGTGCCAACGGTGTATATTTTTCTCTCTTCGCCGTAGAGATTGCATGAATAATTCGAGTACCAATTTTCCCGAATGTGAATATTTTATTTTAGTTTGCCAATCCCTCCAAACGGCCAAGAAGGTACGAGCGACAGCAGCTGCGAGTTAATTAAGGATATCATGGAGGGAAGGTCCGTGCGAGACTCGACGAATCCTATCGACAAGAAGAAAGCGGAGCACGCGAACATACTTCACGAGTTTATGGTCATGTTGTCGGTTTGCCACACGGTTATTCCTGAGAAAGTAGACGACTCCATAATCTATCACGCCGCATCACCTGGTAAAAATCGAATTGCAAATATTCTTGCTGGGTGTGACGTTTAACGCGAATTACATTACATCGTCACTTCTTTATGTTAGACGAACGAGCGCTAGTGGACGGGGCGCGTAAGTTCAGCTACGTATTCGACACGCGGACGCCCAGTTACGTGGAGGTCGTGGCCCTAGGCGAGACGCTGCGCTACGAGATCCTGAACGTCATCGAATTCACCTCGGCCAGGAAGCGTATGTCGGTGGTCGTGAAAACGCCCGAGGGGAAGATCAAGATTTTCTGCAAAGGCGCGGACTCGGTCATTTACGAGAGATTATTGTCGGCCTCCTTGGAAGCTAGCGATCTTGACTTGGAGCACGTGGACGATTTTCGCGAGACGACCCTGGAGCATTTGGAAGCTTTCGCCTGCGACGGATTGCGGACGCTTTGTTTCGCCGCCGCGGAAATACCTGAAAACGTTTATCAGGTGCGTGTTCCATTTGTTTATCAGGCGTATATTCTATCTCGCTTTGGAGTCAACGGATTAATGATGTTCGATAATTTTTCACAGTGGTGGCGCGAGTCGTACCATAAAGCGTCGATAAGTCTTGGGAATCGCGAGACGATGTTGGAGCAAGCTGCGAATTTTATCGAGAGTAAGCTCACGTTATTAGGGGCAACCGCAATTGAAGACCAACTACAAGATCAAGTACGAAATATCATTAACTAATTAAAAATGTTGAAAATCCGTGAAACTGTAACTTATTGTATTTCTCGCAATGCCGTGTAATTCCAGGTGCCGGAAACGATACAGGCTTTTGTACAAGCTGATATTCATGTCTGGGTATTGACGGGAGATAAGCAGGAAACCGCGATAAATATCGGTTACTCGTGTAAACTGATAACGCATGGAATGCCGCTTTATATCATCAATGAAACCTCTTTGGATGTAAGTAGGCGATTCAAAGTTGTAAGCCTCTCTCAGTCGACCTAATGTAAAAACGACTCACGTAATATGTCTCTCGTAGAAAACGAGGGAAGTCATCATTCAACGCTGTCTCGATTTTGGGATCGACTTGAAATGCCAAAACGACGTAGCCTTGATTATAGACGGCAGCACGTTAGACTACGCTTTGTCCTGCGACATCAGGATGGAGTTCTTGGAATTGTGTTCGGCCTGCAAAGTCGTCATCTGCTGCAGGGTGTCGCCGATACAAAAAGCCGAGGTAACGTTTCGATTCTTCAGTGCTTAGACTTGCGTAACAATTAAAATCGCAATGTTTTAACGTATCTTAAATGTTCCGACCGAATTTAGGTGGTTGACTTGATCACGAGTAACAAGAAAGCGGTGACTCTCGCGATCGGGGATGGCGCGAACGACGTGGCTATGATACAGAAGGCTCACATCGGCGTCGGTGAGTTCTATCGCGCCTGTCAATTTTCGAAAATATTTTTATGTCATTGAAACGCGACGTTCCGCTTCTCGCAGGTATCTCGGGTGTCGAGGGTCTTCAGGCGGCCTGCGCCTCGGATTACTCCATCGCGCAGTTTCGTTTCCTGAAACGCCTGTTATTTGTTCACGGCTCTTGGAATTATAGCAGAATGTGTAAATTAATCTTGTACTCGTTTTACAAGAACATTTGTCTATACGTTATCGAATTATGGTTCGCCATCTACTCCGGCTGGTCCGGGCAGATCCTTTTCGAGAGATGGTCCATTGGACTTTACAACGTGGTGAGTTTTTAAGGACTGCACGACATTGTCTTGCTAAAAGATAGAGCTAATTGCCAACGATTCGGGTGTATTTTATAGGTTTTTACCGCTGCGCCTCCGCTAGCTATGGGTCTCTTCGACAAAGTGTGTTCCGCGGAAACGCACTTGGCGCATCCGGGGCTGTACGCGACGAAGAATAACGGCGAGTCATTCTTCAATATTAAAGTACGTACGAATAGCGTTCAATTTTCGATGTGTACTTTCGAAAAAGAAAATAATAAGACGCTCCTGAACGTATCCACATGTTTAAACAGGTATTTTGGGTATGGATTATCAATGCGCTAATTCATTCGTCGCTATTGTACTGGCTGCCGCTAATGGCTCTGAAGCAAGACGTAGCTTGGGCGAACGGTAGGGACGGCGGTTATCTTCTACTAGGAAATTTCGTCTACACTGTGAGTATCGTTTACATTATGCAACGCTACGAGACATATTTACGAAAGTTCTTATGAAAGAGATTATCTGTATGACGCATGTCGGGTTCCTCAGTATGTTGTAGTAACGGTATGCGCGAAGGCGGGTCTAATAATAAACTCGTGGACATGGGTCACCCACTTGGCGACATGGGGCTCTATTATACTCTGGTTCTTATTTATTTTTATATACAGGTAAGATTCTCTCTTTCTCTCAATGTAATATCAAGTTTATAACAATGCATTTAATATGTAATTTAATTTAATACGTTTTTGCGCTGTTGCAGTAATTTTTGGCCCGTCTTGAACGTCGGCGCTGTGATGTTGGGCAATGACAGAATGCTGTTTTCTTCCCCCGTTTTCTGGCTGGGACTTATATTAATACCTATCGCGGTATTGCTGCTGGATGTCACTGTAAAAGCGTGAGTACGATCGCTACTAAGCGCACGCACGACGTATATTTTGTACTCATATAGCGATGGTTTCTACTTTGCAGAGTGAAGAATACAATTTGGAAATCCGTGACGGAAGCGGCCCGAGAGAATGAAATTAGGAAGTCCGATCCTGGTGATATATTCAACAGTCAGGATTATAGAAGCTCGTAAGTGGCTCCATTTTTTTCGTTAAAGACTAACACATAGAGGAAATGCAAAAGTTGCATTTCAAATAACAGAAGAAGTGCTGTCTAATATTTAATTCAAGTCACGGTGGAAGGTTGCATTATTATTATTATAACCGACCAATTTTAGACCGCCCGAGAAAGAAAGTATCGATTTATCATTAATTTGTTTTCGTTATCTTTGAAAAGGTTAGCGTCTATCGCAGAAGGATTTAATACCCGCTCTATATTGGTGCATGATACCGTTCTGATAACCGTATATACTTCGTATTATGTTGACTTATCTAAACTGTGCATGGCTTTCTAGATTCTAGCTCCATTATCGCGTACTGTTTATATTTGGACAACAGATTTACATTGCCTGAGTGGTTTGACTAAAATTATACTGACAAAAATCCTTAATTTATTTTTTAGTATATGTGAGTATACATTTAGGTGCATGTATGTAACAACCATCTAATTTAATCACCCGAGACTTATCCGATTTTCCGGAAATAACACTTTGTCGTTTGTCTACTCGTTTTTTTTTCACGTGACAAACGTTTTACTACCTAGTGTAATTTGCCTCCTAATTGAGCGGATAAATATGAATTATGACAGGCGGTCGGCGAAGCGATGGTTAAATCGATATTGGACCCTGATCCGTTCGCGACGAAGACGCAGTAGGCTGAGAGTGTTTCCTTTAGTAGCACGTGGCTCGTGGTTCACGCACCGTTCCGAGCATGCATCAACCGCAACACTTCAGATCTCATATACCTGAATAATCCGTCCATCCCGATCGATATATTCCCGTCTTCCAAGAGTGCCAAAAGAGTGTAGTAAGCGTTTTAGCATATGCGATTATTATGCGCGTATATACGTTCCTTTCCAGTATAATATTAGAATTAGCACCGAAATCCTGTACAATGCGAAGTGCTTTATTTTATACTGCCGTAATTTTCCATATATATACGTATACGCTGCGAATCGTCCAGCGTCCGCGTGCCTAGAAATATTTATATTTTTTGTTTGAGTTATGTTAAGATATATATATATATATATTTCTTATTTTTTTAAATATTTGGTATGATATATTTGGAGAATGGTATTATTTATTATTTATTATTAGTTATTATTTATTAATTATATATTTATTTCATTTTATTTAATTTGAATGTATTGAACATGTTATATACAATAGAATCTTCGCACGTTCATTCCTAATTCGACCCGCATTACTTTGGACTATAAGAAATAGTAACGTTACGATGTGCTGCAGGTGCTATTGTATATCTGATATATATTTCTGTTATTATTATTAACTCTGCTTCTATTATTTTAAATTAAAGATTTATTTTACGCCATTACTTCCCTCCATTACTTATCATCATCAATTAATACCTCCCTATTTGCATACAATATACGATACGTACGGCAAATCGATCCCTTATATTTTTTTAAACTCTGTATACATACGTGCACATATAAAGTATTCCAATGGAGCTAGATTACCGTTATATTCAGACATCTATATATGACAAATGAATTCTGAGTTGTGTAGCATTAGAAGTGTCCGAAATAGCCTCCTAATTATTATTCTCTTCAAGTAAATAGAGTTTGTAGAGTTAACAGTATATCAGCTACTATACTAATGTCTGTAAACGATCTGTCGTTCGTTAATGCGGTCTTTTTTTGATGTGTTCTCTTACGTGGTAACCCGTGCAGGCCTGTGCATGCCATCGCCGATCTCGCGAGGTGTAAGTACCCCCCCCAGTAGTCACAGTACAGTAATTCTCAGTGCTCCCACTTGTACCTATTTTTTTTTCTTCTCCACACTACGAACAAGCGAGAACACCGCCGATTAAATGAAATCGCATGATCGTTTTGATGTACCGCTGGGTCAGAAAAGGCCAGAACACAGAGCACGGCGATTTGAAAACGGCAATCACGCAATTTTTTTCTCCACGTAGTCTCGGTGTATAGCTCTCACGATGATTCCTATATGGCATATAATTATAATTACCACACGCTTGCGATCGTATACGTGTCACCCCGGCTTATCAGCGGCGCGCATGTCTAATTGATTAGTCAATTAATTAATTTCTTCATTAGCGTAGTATCGATTTTTTTTCCTTGAATAAATTAACACGCATCCCTCCCTCACGTTACCACACGTTATCTCGTTCTACTTAATTCCTGCATGGTGATCGCACCGCACTTACTGTCACCGGTTGTACCCGTAATATCCGCCGGCGTGTGAAAGCAAAAGAGAAAAACTCGCACGGAGCTCGCGTTTGGAAAAGCACTGTCGGCAGAGAATATCCCGAGGAGATCATCGAAAACGACGGTTTAAAAAGATAGACACTGCGCAAAATAAAACAAAAAAAAATAAGAGCGAATTATATAGTTCGTCATTTTGCCCATGCGACGAACGCGTGGGCGGCGGCGAGGGTGCCTCTCCCCGGCCAGCCGAGAATCTCTAAATCATTGCTGAATGCCCGGCTTTGCAGATTGACCGAGACGGCGAGGTTGCTGAAAAATGTTAAAAGCGTTTTCACCAGGCGCTCGAACGCCGCCTCCAGAGTCAGTGTCGAGGTGGAGCTATCACGTAAGTTGTCTCTTCCACAGACACTCGCACACAGCCCGACAGAAATTATCCCGTTTACGGCCCGCGGGACCAGGGGGAGTCCCATCCCCCCCCTGACGGTCCTCCGAATCGATTAACCCTCCCCCTCGTTAACTCTGCGACCCTCGCGAAACTTTCTCTACTTTTCTTACTGGAGTAAACTGTTCTACAAACGTGTTCCCTCGTACTTTTTACTCCACACTCGAGCACGCGCTTAATTTCTCACAGCTTTCCGTTCTCTCGTCCGTCCGTCCGTTCGTCCGTTTGGCTTTATTTTATCTCGACGAGTGCCGTCCCAAAGTCTTTTAAATTATTAATATTTTGAACGAATTCTACGTGTTTTTTTAATCGATCAATCTGATTAATTAACTGCACACTCTTGCACATGCACCCTATTTTATCTCGTAGCCTGAAATTTATATTCTTTTTTAGCAGCCGATGCATTGCGCCAGGCGTGTCGGAAGTCGCGCGCACCTTCCGCTTTCATATTCTTAAAATTCCTCACTTCCGGAACGTCCTGTATATATATATATATAGCTATAATTTTAATTAGCTGAACGATTCGAGACTGTAGAGAACATTTAGTTTTTTTTTTTTGGCTACAAATAGCGCTTTACTGAATCTCAATACTTAAGTATTGTACATTGAAACAATTCCGAGAATTCCCGGCTGCTATAGCTTGCGAACGCGTCTAGCGATGGGCCGGCAAGAGTTTCGTTTCGTCTCGAAGCGAAACTGCTTTACGCGAATAAGTTAAAATCCCTGTGTGGATCTTCGCGGTCTGAGTCGCTCGAAAATTTATATAGAGAGAGATAAATGGACAGAATTAGACGCTAAGCTCATCGCTAGACGCGACGAATTAGATACGTTAGAAGGCAGAGCGTTCGACGGCTTGCATATCCAATTAATGAACGTTCTTACGGCAGAGATTAATGAATTGCGACCTTTGTTATTGCGCATGCTGCGCGATGCAGATGGTTTCGCGTTCTCGCAAGAGGAGGGTGGCTCGGTGACCCAGACGGACGTGATCAGAGCCTACGACACGAATCTTCCCAAGCCCGGCGGCATGTGATTTAAGCGGGGCGGCCGCCGCACGGCGAGACGATGCCGGCCGCTCTTCCAAGCGGCCTGAGCAGGGTAGAGAGAGAGAGAGAGAGAGAGAGAGAGGCTCTGCGTTTTACTCGACTGACTCTGCAAGAAGGGACCGTCTTAGAGAACGGCGACGAACGACATCGGGGTCAGACCGACGAGCAGCAGGCTTAAGGACCGAGAAGAGACTCGAGGGAGAAAAAAAAAATATTTCTATTCTTCAATCGGTCGTGTTTCGCTAAGTTAGAATCTGACCATCTCCTAACGACAATGGCCTTTTTAATCGTGACTGATGACTAACGTATTTTTTATTTCGCCGGACTTATCGCTCGAGAGGAAAGGAATTGTATACTTTGTAACAGCTGACGCACGCTGAATTGCGTTGCGTTCGGAAACGTGTGTTGCGGCTAATTAACGGTAATGTTATATAATGTCCAAAACAAAAGATTCCTCTTTGAATTACTGCGATTACCACTTTTGCAGAAGGATACTCTGACTAGCGCGAGTAATTATTTTGATACTTGGTGAAATTTTATTCTGATATATACCGTAGCGATCTCGTCTTTTTGAAGTATCAGATAGCGGCGCGTCCGCGGCTGCATTTCGCTCGCGATGCATTTGCAAACGCATTTCGTGTTAGCGTCAAGGTCGCGTGCGCGGAATCCTACGTGATTATTAAAAAAAAAAAGGAAGAAGAGAAAACACCGCCGTCTATTCTCGTAGAACGCAAGAGCAGGACGCCCGCTCTACTTCTTCTTCTTTCGAGGAACAAAAATTGCGTGAACTACGCAAGCTGTAACTGCGATCTTAAATGTTTTAAAATATATACATAATATATATATTTGTTTTATACGTAAATAGATTTGTCGTGCGAGATTAATTAATGTCCCGGGGACGCATTCGAGCGGGATCTTTCTGGAATTGCGAGTTCTCTTTTATTTATATATATATATATATATATAAAAGAGAATTTATACATTTTGAAGATTGGAGTTTCGGCAATCGCGACACGATCGATGGTGGATTACGTTCGATTTCGTGCCAGAACAAGACTGTTCCCCTTGTCCGATATTATATGTATATTATGTTACTCTTTACTTATTCTTTTAACTCGATGACGTAGATACTTCATTTTCAATTGTACATACACGAAACATATGCGTTGTTATCTAGTCAGAATCTGGTGCATATCAGTTCAGAGATTCACTTTTTTCCGGCCGTTCACTTTTTTTTTAAGTTTACGACTGAGAAATTTAATAGAGAGATACATATATGTGTGTATATGTATGTATGTATATACGTATAATATATATACATATATTATTATTATTATACATATAATATACACGCATATAACATGTGTAAAATAACAATTGTATACACTATGTTCGGAATAAAACGGTGATAAAAAAAAATTTGTCTTAATCCTTTCCCAGTCAAAAGATTGTAGCCAGCTGCAGAATATATAGATTATACTCATTATCTAATATTTGTAGAGAGGATATCTTATCCAAAGACTTATTTTTATTAAAGTGTTATAGCAATAACAATTGTACAAAGCGCGTGTAGATATGATACTTCTTCGATTAAAAATGCTTCTGAATAACTCATAAGTAATACTGAACGTTCCAGTATCTTAAATGTCGTATTCTTAAAGAGGATGTTTATGATAAAAGTTTAAAAGTGTGAAACAGTCGTCGCATATCGATATTTTGCCAGTATATCGACTTTGCCTGCCTTATCGCGCTCGAAATAATATAAGACAACCGCGGTTCTCCTTCGCTAGCGAGACGAACGCATGACGATAATTGGAATTGACGATCGCACATCGATCGCCAACATATAGATGTAATCTCTCAATCAAGTCTCTGCTTCGGGCTCAAGTTGTCCTCGGCGGTTCCAGCTTGAGGCTGATGAGGAAGTTCTCGCGGTCCTCCCTGTAGCGCGCCTTCAGAAGGTATTCGCACGCGAACGAGTTCAACGGGAAATTGTAGCCCAGCGCGAATCTCTGGTAGTCCGTGAGCCAGGCCGCGACGTCGAGGACGCGCCTCCGCCTCGGGTCCGCCTTCTTCAATTCTCTCTCGTTTTCCGCGCGTATTTTCGCCTCGAGCACGATCACGCGCCAACGACGGAGGAACCTGCGCGCGAGGCACCGCTGTCGGCACGTCCAAACGTCACTCTTGGTTGCGTCAACGATATTCTGACGCGTCGTGAATTTCATCCTGGCCAAGGTCGCCGTGAAGATACGCCTAGCCAGAGACTGCTTCGACTCCTTAAGATTCTTGTCGTCTCTCGAGCGAAGATCATCGAAGTTTTTATTAACAGACAAGGATTCCGAAGTCCCGCCGATTCGCGCGGTCGAAGGTCTCCTTGTGCAGAACGGCGCGCAGTCCGTTCGAATCTCCCTCATGCCATTTAATCCCAGGACCTTGATTAGAAAGTGACCAACGTACGGCATGCAGGGTGGATTGCGTTTCGCTGCGGCCCAGGCTCTTTGGTACTTCGAACAACGTGGACTCTTGTAAATCTTCGACAGCCGCTCCATCGCAGCGTATCTAAAATATGTATGCGCAATTGTATGAATATGAAGAAACATTTTTTGTTAATTGAAAGCAATTAAGCTTCAATGAGTAAATTCAATGAATAAAGAAATAATAATTAAATTAATTAATTTTTTTATTTCACAAAACAAAATTGTTAATAAGTCAAAAGATAAAAAAGGCTCGCATAATATAAAATTAATAACAATTACAAATTAAAATATAATTAGGCTTCTAATCAATAAATTCAATGAATAAGGAAATAATTAAATTAATTAATTTTTTTATTTCACAAAACAAAATTGTTAATAAGTCAAAAGGTAAAAAAGGCTCTAATAATATAAAATAATAATTAATTACGAATTAATATACAATAACAATTAGGGGCCACGAATCAAGCAAGTTGCTAGAATTTAAATATGTTAATATTGAAAACAGACACCGTTATCCGGTTATTATCAATGTTAAATAAATGCTATTACATTATATAAGAATGTCGCACATAGACTAAAATATTATTTTAAAAAACAGCATTACTAATCCTCCTTAGTAAAGTCCTGGTAAATTCGCATAGAGAACAAACTATAACGTTCTCCATATAAAAAGTCAGATCGTAAATTTAAATTTCTGTGCTTCATAGCAATATAAGAATGAACTAAGTCGTTATTATTACAATTTTAAGTCGAATTACAGGATATGGCACATATTTCGAACAGGAACTGTCATAAACATTAGTCTGTAAAAATGTGTGTCAAATAATAACAAACAACTGTTTAATTAAAACAGTACAAATTAATATTACCTGGAGTCATGTGCAATAATTCTCACTTGATTGTAATATTATTTTATACGGATTTAACGAGTCTCTTACAATTGAATATCAAATGGCAATAGAATCTAACACAAGTGGAGGAGCATTAAACAACTTGCTTAGCTCGTGGCCCAAAATTATTAACTTAGGGTAAAAAAAAACTCTACTTATTAATTTATTCGCGTAAATATCGCTAATTAAAAATCGAAGAAAATTATCTTCCGAAATTCTATAACAATTAATAAAGTGAAGAAACCTGCTGGCATGATGAGTCCTCAAGTAGGACCAGCTTTTCCGGAGCCTGTAAATCGGTGGGGCCTGCAGACCGGCCAGGATAGACCTGCAGGACTGAAAGTTGCCAAGGGCGAAGCACTTATCGGCGACGTTGATGAATCTCGCCATGATCCTGGCTCTCATGTCGAGATGCTTGATCGCGAGGATCTCGCTGACGGTCAGGCAGGTGATCCGGTGGCTGAAGGCGATCCACGCGCCCAGATTCGACGCGTTGCGCGACGATCGCTGGTAGACCAGCGCCTCGATCTCGGTCGCGGGGATGCGGACGAAGAGATCGCGGTCGATCGACGTGAGCTGCGCGGCGAAGGTCGCGCTGTCCACGTCCCACACGGTGATGCGTAGGTTCATCCTCAGCAATCTCCGCAGTTGCGCCGTGCCGCCGTCGTCGTCGACGTTCTCGCTCGTCTTGCCGTCGCGTTTGCGCGCGCCGTTGATGGCAAGCACGCGGTCCAAGAGGCCGCTGGACTTCCCCGTGATCGCAGCCTCGGATTTGCCGTTTTCACCCGAGATTCGATTCTTTCGTCGGTAGAAGAATTTTCTTCTCGTCTGCCTCTCCTTCTCGCGTCGGAAGTTCTGGAGAGACGCCAAGTGATGCCTCAGCTCTCTGCTCATAAGAGGCTTTACGTAAGAGATCACTGATAGTCTAATATATGTCTAAATCATTTTACGATTTCTTCTCAAATTATTTAATAAAAAACTGAATATTGCGACCGAATGTTAAATCGGACAATTAAATTAAATTAAAATTAAAAATTTGTATTTTTTAAATCTTTCTGAAGTTGATATTAGTTGAGTTGATTTTCCATCAGTTAAAATATAAATCGCGTGTACGTGGTTTCTAGGACAATTTATTTAATAAAAAATTGAATGTTGCAACCAAATGTTAAATCGAACGATTAAATTAAATTAAAATTAAAAATTTTCATTTTTTAAATCTTTTTGAAGTTGATAATTGAGTTGATCTTCTATCAGTTAAAATATAAATCGCGTATACGTGGTTTCCAGGACGACAGATACTCTTTTTGTATCACCTGTAGGCAGTCGCCGCTGCCTGAGGTCTGTACCAATACTCTGGCGTCCAGAAGAGTATCACTCGTCTTCTAGTGACGGCGCCAACGATGTTGGATCCGCCGGACGTCAGCGCGGCGCAGGAGACGCTGGTCGTCAGCTGACGGCGCGAGACCGGAAGTCTCAGCTCCGGATCCGAGGGCTGTCTGCGGATGTTGACCGCGCTCGGTGATCGGAGAGTCTGCACGGATTCTCGCTCGCCCGGCTGCACCGACCACGGGCCGAGCGCGTGAAAAAAATGCGCCGCCGAGGAGAAGCCGTATCTTCGCGGATGCCTCTGACCCTTCAAGGATCGGCAGTTGTCCTCCCAGACCGTCACGCCGTTCTCGATCATCCTGCGAGCGTCGACGACATCGACGTAGCCCGAGTCGCCGCGATAAGGGCCCAGAATCAATTCGGAATTGCATTTCTCCGGCACCCCAAAGCCGAAACGCGATATTTTCGACGTTAAAGACCGCCTCGGCTCCTTCCAATGTTGCTGTTGGCGTTTCCCGTACTTTTCTTCCATGTGCTCTACGAAATCGTCTTCGAAGCACATATTCTGACGCTCTAAATATTTTTAATTATTTTATTAATTTTTTAATTACTGACATTTAAGTAATTATTTTAATTGAAATTTATTTGTAATTTTTTATCAGATTTATTTAGTAAATTAATTTATATTGTTTCTGTTCGTTTTTTCTCTCTATATATATATTTTTGTTTTTTTTAACTATTATTCTATATACTTCTGTCATTAGAGAAGCTAGAATTTTTAAAATGTATCTAAATAGATAAGGAAAATTTATGCGCATGACTTTCGCAAATCTAACCGTGACATCGGCTATGTTTTCCAAGAACGTTGATGCCGACGCTGTTATCCAGCTGACAGACATTGCAGGGCGAACTCTTGCAACTGGCGACGTAGTCGCGACGACGTACGTTGGGACTTCTCGCGAACAGGACATTGCAGAGTCCGCCGGCACGTTGCAGTCTCGCGCCAAACCTCGTCTGACACGGCCAGCTGTGGCAGGATTTCTCGCGAGCAACGTAACGCGACGTGCGATCCTCCAGCTCGTATCTGAGCTCCTCCAGGCTCGCTCCGGCGAATCTCACCGGAACCGGCGTGTAGCGGCCGTTCACCAACTCGTTGTAAGCCGGTCCGAGGTACAAGTCCTTCTCCGTCCACGTGGGAGTGATGTAATCGCCGGCGCCTCCATAATGACTCCATACTCTATTTGTTTCATTTTAATTACGCGATATTCTTCATAGTATTAAGAGAATCGGAATGTTTTCGTTAAGCACCAAAATTGACTCCAAATTCGCCATTTTTACGCAAACTAAAGCGATTGGTGATTAACTAATAAAGCGCAATTTAATAAATTAAGTAAGTTTGCGAATAATTCAAATAATGTATAAATAAATATAAAAAAAATTAAATATTTTATATATACCCAATCGAATACAGTGTATACATATGTAAAATTGAAATTCGCGAGATAGGCCAATGACAGTCATAGGATCTTGGTGCTCGTATAATTTCATCTGATTTTATAAACATTCTAGTTCTAATAAAAATAAAAATTAATTTTATTATTTTATTTTAATTTTATTATTATTTATTAATACAAATTAATTTAATTAACACCAAATATATCGCTACCTGACTATCGACCTCTTGCGCCTCGCGTTGCGATCACTCCTGACCTCGATCTCGGACGACAGTAAGTACAGAGTGCTACTGCTCGACGAGCTCGCCGCCGTCGTTTCGGACAGCGAGCTACCGTCCGCCTTGCGCGTCAGTAATCTTCGTACCTGCTCGCACCAGATCCGCCAAGAAACTCTGCGTTGCGCGCCGCCGAGCTCGTAATAATTAGCTCGACCGTCGATGAATCTGATGGCAACAAGAAGTCCGTGATGAATCGAGTGCAATGATCCGCTTTCTCCAAGAGAAAATTGATTAAGGAATTTATCTACGGCTGTTTCGACTTCCGCTTGACGTTCTTCCGAGAGAAGAAAGCGGAGACCGTGATTCTTTTTTTGATGTCCCTCGTTTTGTCTATCGAAAAAAGTATACCTTGCCTTCAGAGTCCTGCGACGTCGCCTCCTGAACACGCTGAGCGTAACGTATTCCAGGGGATACACGGACACGAGCTCGAAGCTCTCGATGCTGACGTCGATGCCGGGCGGGCAGAGGAAGCCGGGATTCGTCTGGAGAACGTCGGCGGCGACGATCAGCCGGGTCGGCGTAAGACCGAGGGATACCTGACGGATCCCACGTCCGTTCCTCGTGGTCTCCGCGAACGGCGACTCCACCAGGATCGTCTCGCACAGCTCGCGGTACTCCGACAGCAGTAGCCTGCGTATCCTGTTACCCCGCGACCGACCGGGCAACCTCGTACCACGCGACGCGCTCATGGACGGCACCTCTCGCGCGGCGAGAACGGGGACGGTGTCGCGCCGCGCGGATCATCTGACGAGAGAGATTCTGCACGAACGGAGGATTTTCAAAGCGCTCGAGGATCGTCTACTTGCCAGTGCCTAACCGCGCGCTGGATCAATCGGACTAATGCTGCCTCGGCCGAAACGTCAGGGAAACGTGCGTGCCGCCATCATTCGCAGGCAACTTCTCGGCGACAGAGGTTCTATAAAAAAGGCCGTTTCACGCATGACGCGCATGATGTATCATGATATTTTTGTTGCTTGTATCAAATATTAAACAAGGATAAATCATTGCGCATCACGTGTGAAACGGAACGCAGCCTTAATAGCGAAATTCGTAGCTATTTCTTAATTCCTGAATTCCTACGGCCCGGTTTCACAATTTGCGCTTAATTCGAAATTTAACCAAAGTTCAACTCGCTTTATTTTTCGCTAATCTAAGAATTAGAGATAAACAGTAAATTAAACCAAGATTGAAATTAATCCTACATTCGTTCTTAAGGATAGTGAATTTACGCCTCGTGGATTTAGCATTTTAATTTGAGAAATCGATAAGATCGACAAGGTTTTAAGCATTTTACGTGTCGTTGATTTTATTTAAAAATTCAACGTCTCGTCGAATTTTCCGTTAAGATTCGTACATAGCCGCGATCGCAGTAGATTACATTCAAAAGACTACGTGATAAATACTGGTCGTGAAACCTCGTTTCGATTAATAAGAATTAACTCCCTCACACTCTCCTTACTCTCGGTGTATAATACGATAATAAATAAGATATAAAAAACATGTACGTGTAAAAGAGCCACGCCAATAGGCGGGCGTCTTTTCACTTATATATAATTAAGTCGAAATGGTTAGCGAAACGTGCAAAAATGTACAAAATTTACGAAGATACAAGATGATTGTTGCTACGGTCTTCTCAACTCGATCTTGCATTCTTTTTATCGACTACTGTTCTCCGGATTCACTTTGATGGTGACTTTGTTGCTGAGAGCGGAAGCGAGCTTCTCGATGTTGCTCTGAAGAAGCTTGTTCGGCTCCGGATTCGTTGTTTCGTTGCTGGACGTCGCTGCGTTCTCGTGGATAGTCTTTACGGGCGATTGATTTTCCTGAAACGAAAAAAAAAATTCGCATTTTTTTTTCAGATTTCATATTTCTTGAGAATATCATATTTTTTGAGAAAAAATTAGTTGCAACATAAAACGCTACATAAAATTCGTAATTAAATAATCCAATAAATTCTAAAAATATTCAGAAAAAAGCTATGCAGTCGAAATATTTGAAACGATCGCAGTTTTAATTTTTTTTCCATCAACTTTACATATATTTTTTACAACCAATCTTATTGCTTGACAATTGTGATTCATGACTCTGTTTTATTAATATCGCTTACGCCTTCAGTCTTTCTTCTGAGGTTCGACCTCTGCAGGGTCGCGGCGAGCTCGTTCTGCAGCCTGGAGACGACGGGGGCATTGTCCGACTCGTCGACAGGGCCGTTCTTGTCGCGGCTCGGCTGTTGCGGCAAGAATTCCAATCTCGACGGCTGCTTCGTCTCGCCCTCGTACGATCCTATCCTGATGGCCACCTTGCCGCCGGGCACCTTCGACGCTTGAGCGCCGTTGATCGGCGAGACCGGCGCGGTCGTGCTCTTCGCGAGCTCCGCAACCGGGCTCGTCGCGGCGTCCTTGGGCACCTTGCTCGCGGTACCGATGTGCCGGATCGGACTGCCGCTCGTCGAGGAGGGACTCGTCACCGGGAAGTACGTCGGCGGCGGTTTCGGCACCGTATTGGGCGTCTCCTTCAGCTTGAACGACTCGATGCTCTGCATCTCCACCGAGTCGTCGCTGTTCCGATTTTTGGAAGGAAACGGAAGCGGAGGTGCTGGCGGCGGCACCGGAGGACCTGTCACCGCCGCTGCCGCTGTTCCTGCCGCTGCCGCCGCTCTCGCCGCTACTGCCGCTCCAGCCGCTCCCGCCGCTGCCGCCGCTGCAGTTGCCGCCGTCGTCGTTGTCGGTGTCGTTGTCTCGTTGAGCATTCGCTTCTGCTGTTCCTGCACGCAAAGAAAGGATTAGTTATAAGAGCAGCTAAAACATAGCCGTAGCAAATAAAACGTGTCTTTAAAATAGGGACAGCTAATATCGCTGCTGCCAAAACTCAATTTATTAATTGTTAAAATTTAGACGCTACTGCAAAAAAATATTTGCTACTAGAATCAAATGACGTTTAGCTAATTTTATTGAGGAATATCCAGCAAAGCTTTTGAATCTTTCAGCAAAGTCATTCTTTCCCATTTTCTTAGCTACTCCTATTAAAGTATGCTTTTATTTTTAATAGTTAATAAAATTGTATCTCACAATATATATTTTATCTTTAATAACTAACTTTTAGCAATGACAGAAAAGTTCGAACTGGTTATTGATATTTAGCTGATAATACTAATTGTAAGTCATTTCTTTCCGTGTGAGAACGCAACAGAATGTTAATATGTGCATCTCAGTAAAAAATGTATAAATAAATTTTTTTTTATTCTGAAATTTTGCCTCGAATTGTAAAATTGTCTAAAGGGTTGAGTACATTACGTGTACATTATTAATTAAAAAAAACTACGATTTAAGACGATTAATATATATGTTCTAAACTATAATATACTGCGTTTTAAAAATATCACCTTCAATTCGTTCGACACGAAAACATTAAATATGTTTAACGAATTAATGAATCGTCCTTGGACATACGTGCCGGGAGTCATAAATTAAATTGCATATCGACGCTAATTGTTTTATATTTAACTACTAACATTGTAAGGAGTAATTGTGACCAGCGCTTGTTTCCTCCTCATTGTGTCGGTTGTATTATTCGCCTTCAAGTTTTTCCCATCCATACTCGATTCTGAATACCTCTAATTATACAATAGCAATAGCGATCCAGTGTAACACGTCATGTATCCCACTCTCCACGTGCTCCGCGAGCTATCCAGCTATCTATTTCTTTTTGCACTTGCACTTTTTACATTCAACAGTCACCTGTATTATCGTCTATCAAAATCTATTATATTTTACACGCACGAAATAGACTATATCTCTGATATGTACAGACTGTATATTAAAGCAGTCTTGCGGCAGTTTCCGTTAAACTTATCTCTTAATATCTTAAAGTCCTTTTTCTTAAAATTTCCTTCGGCTTTTCGGGGAATCAGTTGGAGAATCAGTTGATAGAAAAATTCCTTTCACGCGTTATCGTTTCGAATATTCTCTCCTCTCCTCGCCACAACACGTGCCGGCCGTTACCCCGCTATTGTCTTCGAATCACGATCGCGCGGCGATCCTGCGATTTTTCTTTTTGTCTTGCGGTATTTATTTCGCGGACCGCCGATCGCGCGACACGACGACGGGCGACTGAAAGAAACGAGGAGCGGCAAGAGAAGAGCCGCAACGTTACGCGCCGCGTTCTTATGTAAGCCCCCCTATTATTTTGCACGTCCGCCGCAATTCCGTAGGAAACTGCAGCCGAGGCGGAGGAAAAATGTGGCACAAGACTTCGTCGACGCGGCGTGTCGCGTTGCACTCCCGGATATCGGATGCCGTCGCGCACGCGGACGCGCCGGTCCCGTCGCCGGTCTTGCGGACGAATGAATCCGCGAACGTCCGCGATAACGATGATTAATGGACGATAAGGCGGCAATACGAGCTGCCAATCGACGCGTCGAGCCGCGTCGCGCTTGTGTAAGCCGCCGTGCCGTCACCTGGCCGCGGAAAAGAAGCAGTGATTTGTCGACGAGGGGCGATAACGCGCGCTCGGCCACTCGAAAAAAGAAATTAATATCCAGATTTATCTTCGAAAAAAACGAGGAGCGTATATCTCACGCGAAATCACTCGCTGTTTGCGGCGCACTCCAATCTAGAGAGATACACACGTTCTAATCTAGAGAGACATTCTCGTTCCCGTTATTCCCATTATATCCCGGCGATCCGGAGACACTCGAGATACCGCTTGGACTTTAAATACCACTTTCGAGTAATTACTATAGTAATTAATTCTTGCGGCGGCGGAGCTTTTATCGTTATTGTATCATCGATGAAACTGTTATATTTTTATGTCAAAAAAAAAAAAAAAAAAACGACGTATTATGTAAGAATAATCGCGCGCGCTCGTGCGGTTAATAACTGATTTGCTGTAGCACGTTACTTCCGCTACCGAAACGCGAGATCCACCTTCTGGAATCTAGGCGGACGGATATCGCTCGTCGTATATTTTCTTCGCCGCGCGGTAATGCAAGAACTGAAACAAAACGTCGGAACATACGTGACTTTAACGCGTGCAAACTGCTCGCTATCTCTCGTCGTTTCAACAATACTACCGCCGCGCGTCGATGTGCGGGGCCCGACAGGTATATACACAAGTACAAGCACAGAACGTATATCGTTGCGTCAGCAACGCACACGTGCGCGACACGACTACGCGTGCGTTCTGCACGCCGCACACAACGACGACGAGCGAGGACTATTCCGGGGTCTCTTCATATAATTTCGTGCTCTTATCTGTTTGCACCGACGGAGATCGTTGCTTAGCGGTTGTGTAATTAAAAACTCGCGCTACTCGAGCCGCCGCGCCGCGCCGCGCCGACAGTTAGCTACGCCACGAAAATATCCACAGTCAGGTAAAAGCCAGGCGGGGTCTCGAAGGAGACTCGTATATCTCTTCGCCATCTATTTCCCTTCGACATCTCGTTAAAGCGAAATTAAACCTGATACACGATAGGGAAGCGGCTATTGTTTTCGAGCGCGCGGTGTGTATCGCGCGCTTTCGCGCGCAATCATTAATTCTCTATGTTCTTAATTACGATCACCTCCGAGAAGAAGTTATCGTAATTGATATCACGTGAAAACCGCGTTATACTCCGATTGATTTTAATTTATTTTCTTTTTTTTTTTCTTATTTGATGACTCGACGATAACTTTCGTTTATTTCTAAAGTTGATTGATTTTTATAAAAATCAATTTAATTCATTGCAACGCTGGGAAACAACGTCGACTTGTCGATGCGCATACTTGATCGCAATTACGTGCAGTACGTTACGTCACTAATCGGCCTGAAAGATATACGCTTATCACTGGAACAGTACATCAGACTGGCGTCAGGTAGACTATTGTTATCGCATGAAGGTTGGAGCTATATTTCGGATTCCACGTGGTGAAGTCGATAAGTAAATTCTTGCCGCTTATTTCTTTAAAGCTTCACAATATCGAGGGACTGTTATTTTAGAGATAAAATATTATTTTATTGTACCTCAAAATTTTAGTCGCGCAATTTAAATAAAAAAAAAAAAAAAAACTGACAAAATAAAAATTTATTTTCTCTCACCTTCTCCTGAACGTCCTTGGGCACCTGTTCCGAGGACTGAGCCTTTTGCTGAGCAGAATTGAACATCTTTTGGTGGGCACGCTTAAACTCTTCCATCAGCTAAGAAAAAAATAACAATAAAATATCAATTTGATCATTGAATTTTCGAATTTAGTCGACGGATTTAAAAATAACGCACACAATGCAGCTATTATTCAGTTAAGGATTGCACGCGAATTATAGACTATTTGTATATGCGTAACTAATTGCCTGTACGTAATTGCAAGCATCTGACCTTGTCGTGTGTGACTTTTTGCTCCTGCGATCTCAGAGCTTCGGGATTCTGAGGCTTGCGATTGTCCGGAGCTCTTTCCTTTGGCGCTTCCGCTTTAGCGGCATTGTTCATCCTCTGCAAGAAGAAAAAAAAACAATACGTGATAAATACGTGGTGAAACACGGGTGTAAATAAATGTAGCGATAAGTTGAAAGTAATTAATTATCAAGATAAATTGAAAATTAAAAAGTATAGCGATATCTCGTGGAACGTAATTTGTCCTAGACATTTCTAAAAATGTATCTGTACGGTAAATATCAAGAAATCATAGTTCTAAGAAAAACAATTTCAATGTAAAGATGACAGATCATCCAGATGTCGATCGACAAAAGATTAAATTAGAAGAAATTTAAAGATTAGATTTTTGCGGCACATTATATCTTATTATATCTTAAGTACTTCACAATTGATAATACTCATTGATAATGCTCATCAATTTCAATCGCAACAGACACGAAGAGATCATAAAACGTGAAAGATATCGCAGATAAACGGATTAATCGCAAAGATATCGTTGCAAAATAACGATTGGAGATTAAGAAATTATGAAAACTTCACGTTCAACGTGAGGGAAGACAAGGAGCGTCCTGATTGCGATTCGCGCGATAATAGAGCATTATAAGAATTGCGTTGGGAATTACGTTTCGTGTTTGCGCTCTCGAATTGTCCTCGCGGTTTAGCGATCTTATCGCAGAAGAAGATCCGCGATACGCGATTCTATTTTCAATGCTCGATCGATCTCACCTGCTGCGCTCGCCTCTGCAACTCCTGCGTGATGGCGGTGCTCAGATCGGTGCTGGCGATCGGCGACATCCTGGCGACGTCCTTGCGCGGCGTCGCGTAGGTGGCCGTCGAGCTCTCCGTCGTTTTGCTGGTGACGCTGCCGGATCCGCCGCCCGCGGCCGATCCATAAGAGACGGTGGACGCCGGCTCGCAGGACGACGTCGACAGGGACGACGACGTCGACGCGGAGTCCTTGCTGCAGGACGACTCGAGGCTCGACTCGGTCTCCGTCGAGCCGGTGCTGCCCATCGACATGGTGCTGCCCATTTGCATGCCCATGGCGTTCATTGGTTTGGTCTCTGTAACGGTAGATACACGGTGACCCGTGACTGCAATGTGAAACATCAGAGAAGCGGATGATTCTCTCAAATTCGAGATTTTAATCTCTATTTAAATATCGAAAGGTATATAAACGTAAATCAAATAGTACTATTATTTATTTAAGAAAGTAAGCGTAAACATATTTACAATTTCTATTATTTATATAAAAAAGTGTAAAAATATTCTCAATTCTTTTAACGAGAGACGAGATGTAATTTTATTCATTAAAAGAAGGCCGTGAAGAACTTGAAATATCTATGTTTTCGAACGAAAGCGCGACAGCGGAAAAGAGGACTTCTTTCAACTTGGCGCTCGAGCGCGAACGCGGTCAGTTATTATTCTAACGATGCTGCGAGGAAAAGCCGTCAAACCTGCTGGCCATTTGTAAGGAAGCGGCGGCGGAGGTGCAGGTGGACAAACCGACTGATGCACCTCTACGGTCGTTATCGTCTTCCTCTCGGCCTCGCTCGGTCGCTGCATGAGTTGCAGGTCCGTCAGCCGATTGCCGACCGCCTGGACGCCGTTCTCCTGAACGCAGAAAATTATTCGCGGCACGTTTAACATATCTCGCTCGTATATTTAATTAGACCGGCTTATCCGATCGGCTAACGAGGCAACATTTTAAAGATGAGAAATGGCGCAATAATGAAAACAGATCGCGTGGCGAATGTGTATATGTAGATCCTCCTTACTTTGGAGCCATGGTACATGGGCAAGTCGTCCGCGGGCCCGTCATAAATCACGTCCTGCTGCCTCGCGTTATCTCGCCGATAGGCCAGCCGCCGATTCGCCTCGTCCCGCGGATTCGCGTCGAAATCGTGCACCTCGTAGTCGATCCTGGGCGCCACGGGATCGTAAAGCGGCTCATTGTCGATGTCATCATCGTAATTGCCGCGCGGATTGAAGTGATACTGCCCGCCCAATACAGGCCGGTGATTCTGGTTCTGGTTCGAGCTCTGATTAACACGAATCACGGTTGTGTTATTCGGTTTACGCGACCATTCCGGCGCCTAGAAAACGGTCAAATTAAATCCCAATGAGAGAGAGAAAGAGAGGCGTTGCATCTCTCGTCTTTTAAGCGGTCTCATACCTTGAAAAGCATGTCGAATTGGATAACAGAATACATAATTATAATAATTATTTTATTATTAAGCGCAAAAGTTGGAGAAAATTAAGCATTTTATTTAAAAGAAGATTTAAGAGAGTCCAATAATTATTCCAATGGTTATTAAAACGATTATTTTTTACACAATAAGTAGAATTTAATTTTAATTTATATAAAATTTAATTTCTAAAGATGCAATCAAGATGAATTTTATACAATTAATGCGATTATTCAAGAGCGGTTAATGTAATAGAAATTTTAGAATTAACATAAACATTCAAGTATTCGTTGTACACGTTCTGCTTTTCTAGAAATAATAAACGTGTTGTTATTCGGTGCGTAACGGTAAAGGCTGATAAGCTACTGCAACCGCTTGTTATCGCGCTAGAACGCGCTGCCAATGGTACTAGTATTAAAACAACATTTCGATAAGAGGTAAAACAAATCGAGGTAAAGAAGATATGTAAATTTAGATTTTGTAAATTAAATCTCTTTGTGAATTGATTCTCGAACCCTAATAGAGCAGAATTTAATTCATGCTGTTTCCTTTTCTACAAAAGCTGTTAACAAGAAATCACTTTGAAGAGTTTTGCATTGCGTATATATATGTATAATACAGAACATAATCAGATAATCTAGCTTGCAATCCTTTACCTGATCCACGTGCGCCCACTCCGAGGAGGAACTGCAGCTGGTGGTCGACAGGGCGAGCGGACAGCACATCCTACAACACGTCACGCGCGGAAATCAAGCGGGGATCTGTCCGATTATGCAAGCGAGCGTCCGTGCCGATTTCTAAAGAACGGAATTCGCGGGAGAACACGCCGCCGCGCCGCGGGGAGAAACACGAGGAACAGGATGAATGTTTATATATACGTGGCGGCAAGGAATTCGCGCCGCGGCGGACTCTACGATCGTTATCGCCGAGTGTCCTATTAATGGACACCGACTTTCTCCCGGTGCAAATTCATTGATGGCACTCGATAACGGTTGGCGACCGCTCGGAAAAGACACGCGTGCATAACGCGTACCGCATGCAGGCGATTATTGTAACCGGCAATATTAATCGATATTAACGTCCGGCAAGTTTAACGATTCGTTTCAAACGTAATTAATTAAACGGAAACGGACTGATTTTCTAACAAAATAATCGAAGTAACCGATCGCAACTGACCTGCCGTTTCGGTTGCAGGCGTCGTCGCGCGGATACCGCTGGTGCATCCTGCCGTCGTGGTGGTGATGCTGCGGCGAGGACGACGGGTTGTTCTGATGCTGGGGCGGCGGACTGGCGGCCGCCACGCTGGACGTCTCGGAGTCGTAGCCGCTGGAGCCGCGGGTCCACAACGGCTCGGGACAGTCGTAGAGGTGACTCGGGGACGTGGGCCGTTGCACCACGAGGTCGAGGATTGCCGAGCTGCGCATCACCTCGATGGCCCGCTCGAACGGAAGATCGGTGAGTCGTTGCCCGTTGCACCAGATTATCACGTCGCCGGCCTTCAGGCCGGCCGCTCGCGCGGGACCGCCTTCCCTCGTGCCCTAAGGGTTCGCTTTTTATAGGCAAAACTAATGGCCCCGTCCGCTCATTTCGCGCGCGAGCGTGAATAGAATGCGAACTTTTTATAAAAATGTCAAATCCCAAGCGTAAGAGTTCGCAGTAGACGAACCTCGTTACTTTACTCGAGTCTACTTCAATCCATATATCTTGATTTTTAATATATATTTATATTAAATAAATAATTTTATAATGAGGTTTATTTTTTTTTGCAATAGATTAAACGCGTCTTCCGTTCTTTTATCTTACCCGAATAATTCCTAAGAAGGATTTTAATTGAAGTAGGATAATCTTCGCGATACCAAGGGAAAAATCTCAAGAATGTCAAGGCGCTTTTACATGCGACATGACTATGTCCAATTAGGATGCTATTAACCTGAACGGTGAGACCAGGTACGATGCCTCTACAAACACCGCAGCCCAGGCGACCCTTCTCGCCGACGAGAATCCGAATTCTGACTTCTGCGCTCGGCACACCGCCTAAACCAGTTTCGTTGTACTGCAGCTGCTGTTGCTGTTGCTGCACCATGTGCCAGGTAACCGGATCGTTTGGATTGCTTTACAAGAATCGTAAGCGATTTTTATAACAGAGGATGTCGATCGAGAGAAAGAGAGAGAAAGAGAAAATAGGGAAAGAAACGCACGTACGCACGCGCGCCCAAGGTTTTAATTAAATTTCGATACTTACTCTTTTACGGGTATCATCCCAACGCCTGCAATACAAATCGAAAGTCATAAATTTTCGCTATCAGCGACGAGATAGAGATTATTGCAACACGCCGCGCGTATTACTGTTATTAATTATTTTTCATTCCGATCAGCGAGGTCTATCTCTCTACGCGGCGCGTTACAATGAAAGTTTACGCTTCGAAGTACTATATATATACTTCGCAGCAGAGATAATTAAAGATGGGAAACGAGATAGTTACTTCGAATTTTGAGAACCAGGACTTGCTGATTCTTCGCAAGGAGCGCGACCTCCTGGTGAACGGCGTCCTCCACCGGGTAACCGTTCACCCTCAGGATCTGATCGCCTACCTGAAAGCGACAGGACGAAAGCGAAATTGTTAGGCCCAACGCGATCTCTTTGCAATTTTCATTTAGTTAGCATTACAGAACAAGTCACACAATCGTCAAATAATATAATATAATATTGGAAATATATAAAGATAAAGAAATATTAGAAATAAATAAAATATGGAAATAATCATAGATAATTGTAAATTTAAAAAAAAAAAGGTACTGATTAGAGATAATTACCCTCAATCCATTTCTGTGAGCCTCGCCACCCGGCTGGACGTCGCTGACGTAAAATCCGGCGGCGTACTCGCGTCCGCCCCGTAATGAGAAACCGAAGCCGGCGTTACCGCGACGCCTCAGACGTACGTTTCTGGTCACGCCGATGACGGCCATCCTGCCGCCTCCCGCCGGGTTCCCAGGACCTCCGCCGGTCGACGATCCCGTGCCAGCACTTGACGCGCTAGAGGAGCCACCCGACCTGTCGGTGTCGTAAAAAGGACGCATATAAATAACGTCGTTTCCTAGTACCTTGCCAGGTCGAGCATAAAAAGTCGGTGAGAAAATTCAATTACCTTTTTTTTTTTTTTAAGAGCTTTCAATAATTCAAGAGTGTGGCCGAGGGAAATTTCGAGGCTTTATTATTTCAAAGTACTTCAATTAATTTCGCAAAATAAAAAATATACTTCGTGTAAAATAACATCTTTTCATTTTATTCCGTGTATTATTGAGACATATTGCACATGTTTATTTGTTTTATTTTATAAGTTTAAGATAAATATTTTCTCGGCACCGCGGCTGCATCGTCGCGGTTTTATTTTGCCTTCGCTAGCAATTGTCTTCGCAAGGATTCTCATTTTCCCCCCCTCGCTTCGATGAGCGAGCGGACGATTCCGTACCTTTGTTCGTCCCCCGCCGACCTTTTTCCACCGCGCTGTGAAATTAATGACCACACCTGGCGCGAGGAAGGAAGGCGAGCTGAGGAAGCGAACGTGGTGGCAAGGTGAAGGAGTCGCGAAGAATTCCGCGCTCGAAGGAGAAAGAGGAAGACGGACGGGAGAATGACTCGGGGGGGGGGGAGAGCCGAGGAGGAGGCCGAAGGGGGACACTTTGCTAATGACGCCGAGAATCCATCTTCCGACGGACATTGAAAAGATTGCATGCGACATGAGGCGACAACGCGAACGCTGTAGAACACCGGGGACGACACCGGGGATGACACCGGGTAAATGACAGTCATTAAGTCCCTTCGGGAGAGGGAGGCTGCTCCAAATTGGTTTGGAGGAGGCTGACTCAAGAAGGTCGCCTGCAGCGAGACCTCGTTCGAAGGGTTCTCCCCGTATTGTCATCTTCCAGCCGTTCATCCCACCGTTCTTTCTTCGCGAAACAATGTCTGGCTAAATACCGGAGCTCTCTATCGTGCTGCACAGCGGATCTTCATCGGGCGTTCGGAATATGAATTTTTGGAGCAGACACACAGCCGTGAGAACGCACGTGGAAATCGGATAGTCGCGGATTGCCGCGCTCGGTCGTGGGATAATAACTATTTACTCCGCGGCCCGCGCTGACATCCCCGGAATCCCGCGTTGCGTAATAACGGCGTGGGATAACGCAATTTTATTTTCGCGCGTTTAATCGCGCACCTTTTTTATGTAATGGGGTCCCCCCCCCCGGGAGGGCGTTCGAGCGCGCCGGCGACGATTAGGAGAAAGAGAGAGAAAGAGAGAACAACTGCAGCGTTCAACAAAAGTCAAATTGCTACCTCGTGCCGGAAGATCTATTATGCAATCGCGACGGAGGCAAGAGAGAGAGAGAGAGAGAGAGAGAGAGAGAAAGAGAGAGAGAGAGGGAGAGAGAGAGAGAGAAGACAATAAGTGCACGTGGCGCGCGGCGTTCCTCGCGGGCGTGGGGACGCGCCGCGCCGCGACACAACGCGCGCGTCCGCACGGAAAGACGTACCGTTACGGTCGTCGATATCACCGTTTGACGATCGAGCCCTGAAAGTGTTACACGACTAACGCAAACACGACGCGCCGTGTAACGTACACACGTATATACGTAACACCTTCTTCCTCAGGCCGCGTCCGTCCGTCCGACGCGCCCGGGTGACCCGCCCGCGTCACGATCGCGATCGTCGTCGTGATACACTCATATGCACGTATTAATCCGAGACTCGAGATTCCGCTCACGAACTATGCTAATTCCTCGTCGCCTCCCGAGGGTACAACGTGTCGAAAGAGCTAACGGGAGAGAAAATTTCACCGAGGAGGATAGCGAAACGTACAGAAAAGAGGAGGCTCGAGGAGACGCACACGATCTCTCTTTACAGTCAAAATCAGATATACAGATACACTTACATGAAAGAAATTAACCAAGAAATCTCGTTCGAAATGAAGAACTCATTGAATAGCGTTACACCTTTCTCACGCCATTGTTTTCAAGTATGAGTTACGACGCTCTCGGAATTCGTCGCGATTGAATTGACTGACGGTACACGTGTAAAATGTAACAGGACATTTTTCTGAATCATCGATTACGAATTCTGCTCGCGTCTTATGTTAATCCGTGTCGAAGGGACGAGTTTAGGTCGACCGCGGGACAGCCAGAGACTCGGAGAGAGCCGGGACGTTCGAGAGATGCGTTTCGTTTACTTATATTACTACAAGCTTCATACCGTTCTCACCGTTATCGCGGCGATCAATTTTTCTTATCTCCCACCCGCGTTCGCGCGCGCCGCGATATTTATTATTGCTATTAAATTTCTGCCCGTGCATCATGGTAATAGCATGGTAATAGCGAGGCATGAAGGATGGCGAGGAACGTCCAGCTCGCCGACAATGCGGAGAAAGTTGATGCAAGGCTGCAAAGAACACGGAAAGGCACGCCCTGACGACGAGTGTTCTCGTCCTTTGCGGCTCTCATGACCGTACCTCTGGCGCTTGTATCTCGTTGCACGCATATTGCACAAATGGAAAGTAAAAAGTAAAATAATGTTTTTAAGACCCAACGCGGCTTTTAGGTTCCCCAAAGTCGTGATTCAACAAATGAGGACAACTTCAATCTTCTGGGCGTTTATTCCTGGTCGCGCGGTTTAGCAATCTTCTGTGTTCAAAGACTAGAAATCTTTATATATTTTAACGTACCTTCAAATTGAATTGAATTTAAATTAAAAATATATACATCTGCTTTCTTTTTTTACTTATTTTATTAACATGTATTTAGAAATAGGAAATAGAGATGGATATAAAACTTAAAAAAATATATATTCTTACTCAAAACATTTTAAAAATTAGTAGCTCTCGAAACTGAAGAAGTTACGGAATTTATTTCATTGTGTTTCTCTAACGACGCTCTTTACATTCACTCCAGGTACGTCCGAGCGATGTACACGTGTTGCCGCGAGTGCCTCGGTATCTAACTTTAGAACTGGTAGCAAGCAGTCGAACCAGAAGTTGACAAATTGTTACCAGACGTGTTTAAAGTACCGCCGGCGATTCGCCTCACGGTCTTCGTAACCGCGTATCAGCTTATACGGCTAATCTCCTCTCTTGAAACGGATTATCGCCGCGTGTACAGCACGCACGCACGCACGCACGGCGGGACGTATGTCGATTTTTATGTCACGAAATTAGTAATAAGCCGTTCAGGAATGTCTGCACGGTTTCAAACTCGTTCTTCTCAAAAGCATTCGTTTCGAACCAGTTTTGCAGAATGAAAAGGCCCGTCCCGAACCGGGTCGGACTTGCGTAACGCGACGCCGGATAGCAATATCGAAAGATGCTCAATAATGAGGGGTGGGGGGGGGAAGGCATTATTATTGTTTAAACTTGCACCGTTTTAAAAAGTACAATAAAAGAAATGCCGCTTGACGTTACCATAAAGATGATAAAATCTTATCGTTGGCTTAGAAACGTAAACAATTATTCTTTTTATTTCTCAAGCACAATGGGATATTAACTTTCCGATTTCTATTGTATTATTATCCTTCTTCATTGTAAAATCACTGAATTGTTTTCCAACGCGATTTCGACTTCGTCTACAAGTGAAAATAATACTGGTTATCGTAGTCTGTGTCTCGGCTGTTCCAGTTGACTCGAATCATTATGGAATCCACGCTCCGATGCTTTCCAACTGGAGCAACTATAGCCCCCGTATACAGTTGTGGAAGCAGAACACATGTTACGTAGGTATTACAAGTTACAAATTGCACGTTCAAATATATAGGACCTTTTCTCTAACTGCGTCACAGCGAATCGCTCCAGTTTCACGGTATCGATTCACGAAATTCATGCCTACACGTCATCCGCTATAGCTTTTATTATGTCCGTCCGATAAAGGATTTCATCGTGCGCGAGACTCATGACGATCATGCAAATTTCGCGTGCCGATGCAATGTCGCTCGTTTACAAGAGGAGGCGGGGTACGCGCGGGACGCGCGGCGGCCGTATCCCTCCGAGTAAATTTCATTTTCGTCACGGCCGAATTGCCGGCTTAACTATGCACGGCCGGTGCCTAGAACGGCGTGAAGTCGCGGAGTAAGAAAGAGAGACGGAAGAAATCGGACGTGTTTCGCGTTTCTTCCCTTCACGCGCGACCGGCCACGTTCCATTCGATCCGGGGAATCCGCGCACCTTCGATCGATCGAACGATCGATTTACTCTCGCGCGCTGTCTGGTCGTTGATCCACACCGGGCTTTCGCGGTTTCCGATCATCGACCCCCTCCCTCCCCCCCCCTCTCTCCCCCGGTGGGGGTCACGGATTCGTGTGACGTCGCGCAGCAATTTCTGCAGAAGGAAGAAAAAAAAATGACAGGCTCTATCCGACGCGAAAGAAAGACGATAATCCCTCGATTTATGATTAACGATCGTTCATGCGAGGCAGATAAAATCGGAGCGAACGTTCGAATTCGACAATCACGTGTGTGCCGACGTGATGTCTCGATTGTCTCCCTTTTCTCTATCGTTTTAATGGCGTACACGAGGAGCTCTCTATTAAAAATGACGAGAGCGTAGCCCGCGGTACGCGCTTTAATGAAGGCAGTTTCTTGCGATTGATTTAGAAAGCAAGAAAAGTGACACTTGATCGCGGCCGATCCGAACCGATGTTGTCCGTTGCCGATGATAAATCGTGCGGAATATCGAACATAGGGAAAGTCCCACAGTCGCGCGGGATAGGGGGAAAAAAAAGGCGAATGGAACTACTCGTTTCCGGGATTCTTTTTGATGCGTTAACGATTTACAATCCTCGTTACAAGTTTCTTTTATGCGCTTGTCGACCGACCGAGCGAGCGAGAGAGAGAGAGAGAGAGAGAGAGAGAGAAAAGTCGCGAACGTCGCAGAGAAAAAGATAAGAAGCACGGAGCTCATTGCCGTGTTTGCGGTGAACGGTAACGGTGATCATCTCCTGACAGTAAAGTTTTCAAGCCCGTCTCTCTACTCTCGGCTCGGTCTCTTCGGTATCCGGCCGCGGCCGGACTTTAATGCGGCACAATGCCGATAGGATGGTAAATAATTTCTTCGTTGCGGCTAACGGTATACTCGCGAGAGTTCCACACGCAATAATTTCGCGAGCGCTCGCTGCCCGATCGCGCATCCCCGCCGCCTTCCATCGCCTTTCTTCAGATCAACTAAGTATTTGGGAAATATTTCTGCAAGGCAGGCGCGCGGACTCTTCAAGCGTGTCTTCAGGCGTGGCATCGATCTATTATCCGCACGTGAAATCCCGTCTACGCCAATTACGTCGCGAGAAAAATACGGAAATGCCTGTATAAACATTCAGATATGCGAGGTATATCTCAGAGAAGGAAATGACTCAGCAATGTTATTTTTTAAATCCACTTTAGACAGTCTATAATTTATGTCGGACTTCAGGAACTCTTTATAGTTTTATATTCAAGGGAGAAAGAGAGAGAAATAATTGTGTAATTATAAAAGAAATCTGTTTATAATTTTGTATTCAAGAACTACAAATATAAAAGAATTTTGTTTGTATTGTTATACATTATTCGAACATATAATGTATTTTAATATTTTAATAATTTAATATTTAATTTATATAATAATTTTAATATTCGTATAATGCATTTTAATATATTTTCTATAAATGCATTTCTATACATGTATCTTTAATTTTCGCAAATGCTTCTCTCGCATTAAACGCGGCACAAATTACAAGTGGGGCTCTCGTCGTAATTCTGAACGCGAAATTCCACTTGTAGAGAGATCGTCTAAAGTGGACGCGCGAACGATTCTAATTTACTGAAAATGAAATTTAATTTAATGAGAATGAAATGGACCGCGCGCGTTTATACGCGGCCGTTCCGTCCATCAGAGTAGATTGGAAAACGGCTGGGCCGAACGCGGGGTGATTTATTACGGCGGAATCGCTAGCCCATCAGATGGAATCGCGAATGATTTTTTGCCGAGCTACTTATGGAGTAATTGCATAATGTTACACCTTATTAAGACCGCGCCAAGACCGTTCCCCGCGAGGAGGCATGTAGGTTATACAACGGATATTTAATTTCTCGGTGTTCCATCCGTTCGTCACGTAAGCCCGCTTATCTAAAGTGCATCGTAATTTCCACTAAACCTGCATTTTTTAGCAATTAAGGCAACACCTAGCGGCAACGCTGCGAAGGCCTGTGTGTCTCTCCGCGCTGAACTCTTTTTTTCCTCCCTTTCTTCCCATTTCTCACGCCCATGTCCGGAAAGATGCGACGCAACGCGACGCGACGCGACGCGACACGGAGATCTCTTTGTACTGCAGCGAGAAAATACAGTTAAAATATATACAAGCAAAAGCCGGTCCGATTAGCAAAACGATCATCGCGTAACGGTCGGACGATATTTATTATTAACTTGTTGTTACGCTGACTAATTAACTTGTAATCGGCCGTGAGATGAATATTCGCGGTAAATGACTCATCCCACCGACCGTAATTTGCATCAGCGATTTTCAGTCTTATATAATATTCTGGGAGCCCGATTTTGCTCTCTGCAAAAGTGGGTCGTGCTTATTTGTTATTAATGTACAAGGTATCTCTTTCGCTTTTCTTTATTGCGATATCACGAACCTTTAATTAAAATTGAAAGTCTTAATGCCCGCATGAGTTCCCGAGTTATGATTAATTCGCACTGTCAATCCGAGAGCGACAGACGCAAATTGCAAAATCAGTAAAAAGTTCAAAGGGCGAGAATTTTGCAAATATAAACGAATTCCATTTGTAATTTTATATACAGGGAATATATAACTGAATGCATCTTACATTCAAGAAATAATATAAAATTAATCATGTAAAATTACAAACAGAATTTTTTATATTTGTTTAATTATATTCTCAAATATAAAATTATAAATAGAATGTTTTATATTTGTAGAATTATTATATTTCTTAGATAAAATAATAATACAAATTTAAAAAAAGAATTTTATTTGTATAGTTATATATTAATTAATTTTAATTTTGTCAATTCAAGAGCGATAGATGTAAATTGAAAAATCAGTAAAAAGTTCAAAGGGCGAGAATTTTGCAAATATAAATGAATTTCCTTTGTAATTTTATATACAGGGAATATATAACTAAATGTATCTCATATTCAAAAAATAATATAAAATTAATTATATAAAATTACAAACAAAATTTTATATTTGTTTAATTATATTCTCAAATGTAAAATTATAAATAGAATTTTTTAAATTTGTAGAATTATTATATTTCTTAAATAAAATAATAATACAAAAGAATTTTATTTATATAATTATATATTAATTTTATTTTTGTCAATTCGAGAGTGTTAGATGTAAATTGCAGAATCAGTAAAAAGTTCAAAGGGCGAGAATTTTGCAAATGTAAACGAATTCCATTTGTAATTTTATATACAGGGAATATATAATTGAATGTATCGTACATTCAAGAAATAAGTAATATAAAATTACAAACAGAATTTTTTTTATATTTGTTTAATTATTATATTCTCACATGTAAAATTATAAATAAAATTTTTTACATTTGTAGAATTATTATATTTCTTAGATAAAATAATAATACAAATATAAAAACAGAATTTTATTCATATAATTATATATATAAATTATATATGTATACATATATTAATATATATATTAATTAATATATAAATATATGTATATATTAATTTATTTTAATTTTGTCAATTCGAGAGCGATAGATGTAAATTGTAAAATCAGTATAAAGTTCAAAAAGCGAGAATTTTGTAAATATAAACGATTTTCGTTTGTAATTTTATATACAGGAAATATATATATAATATATAAATAAATATATATATAATTAAATGTGTATTTTGTATGAACATAACTTTAATATGCGAGTGAATATTTGAGTTAATATTTTGTTAATGTTGGTGTGCTTAGATTCCAATACATATATGTAGAATTTCGTGTCAGAACTTACGATAGAGCTCCGCTTGTAATTTCGTGTGCTGCGTAATGCGAGAGAATTTTACATTCAAAAAATAATATATAATTAATCATATAAAATTAATTAACATAAAATTACAAACAGAATTCTTTTTATATTCGTTTAATTATTATGTAAAATTATAAATAGAATTTTTTACATTTGTATAATTATTATGTTTCTTAGGTAAAATAATTATACGAATATAAAAAAAGAATTTATTATATTTTATATAATTATATGTTAATTAACTTTATATTATTAATCGTATATTTCAAATTATTCAATCAGAATCGATTGGTCGAATCGACATCGAAATTAGGTATTTCTAGCGAGATAGTGTATTGTACATTCTAGAATTTCTAACTTATATAAATAACGTAATTTAACATATTTTATATACATGTACGTGTTTCAACTTTCCAAATTTCTCTCGCATTACGCAGCACACGAAATTACAAGCAGAGCTCTGTCGTATAAGTTCTGACAAGAAATTCTACATAATGTACATATATTGAAATCTAAGTAACATTAATTAACGAAAGATCACTTGCGTATTAAGCTTATGATACGATATCCATACAAAATATCCATCCCGGCGAAACGATAACTTATAATTTCCATCAATCTGAATTCCGTACAGATAAATCACGCGAAGGTACCTGTGCTTCGACGGAACCGTCGCCTCAATGCCTCTCGGTCGCCGAATCGTGTGAAAGCTAATCCTATAATCGCCAAGTTGGTGGACACACTTGGTTCACAGAGTATACGACACTCGCGTTTCGGGACACAGCTACGCGACGCCTCGACACAGATCAAGGCAAAACCACAGAACGTATAGAAAAATTCTCTCGTAATCCATTCGAACGTATTTTCATTCGGCCCGTGTTGTTGTTGTGTCGCAGGTGACCCGGCCGTTGGCCGCTACGCACGTCGCGCCTGATCGCGCCACGCACCGGGCGGCGCGCGCCTCGCGCCACGTGACGTCACGCCGAGTGGCGCGATGGTGGGGGGCGGCCGCGCGCCGGCCGGTACGACGCCGGCAACGCCGCCGCGCAATGCATTACTATTTCGGGTACGGCACGGGGCGGCACGGCGCGTCGCGCTCGATGATTTCCTCACATTTTCTCGCGATGATTGATCGATGCGGCCTCCATGATCGATTTCTGCGATGCGTAGGTATACCGGGACGACATCTCCGTTTCCTGAAGTAGGTATTTTGCGCGAGATAAGGGAACTCAGAGAATTAACACGGATCGCGAGAATGAATTTGTCGCGTTCCAGTCGCAATTGCTGC